TGATAATGCAAGTTTTCATAAGTCGGTCAAAATGAAAAACCAATTGAAAATGCAGGTGTATGTATTGTTTTATCCCATATTTAACTGATTTAAATCGAATTGAGAATTTTTAGCCGAATATTAATACCGCTATTGATTTTGTATTTTAAGAATTAGGTAAACCTTATTTGAGTTAGTTATATTAATAGTAAGTTCTCTCTATCAAGTTATCCAAGAGAGCTTACACATTATTTTCTTTTTCAGTATTTTACTGATTAAGCAATCTCTTAAACCTATTATTTCTTAAAATAAATCTTTTAAACACTCTGTATCACAATTAATTTTAGTATTACTATTGAATTCTCTCTGCACCCCTTTGATTGTATACCCCTTATCATATAGCATTGTTTTATTTTCTTTATTGTTTCTATGTATCTATGATCATATAATCTTCTTCCTATACATTTTATAGGTTTAATCTAATGAAACTTACTCTCCCAAAATCTTAAAACATGTTGCTCCAAGCTTAATTCTTTAGCTACTTCTCTAATAGCATAGAATAATTTTTCCTTACTCATCAGTATTTATTAAATTTTTAATAATTCTTGAAGGCCTAAAAGAAATTGATTTTTTTTCCTTAATTATCACTTTCTTAAATCCGTTTGGGACATTTCCAGGTCTTTCTCTTTTTTTATTGACCACCAATGTTCCAAATGATGATATTTTTACTACTCCATCCTTCACTAGATAGGCTTTAATTTCATCCAATATGTTATCTATCATTGCAGCTGAGTCTTTTTTTGATAACCCTATCTCTTGGTTTATCTTTTCTGCTATTGTTAACTTAGTTAATGTTTGTGACTTTCTTTTCATTATAATATGACCGATAACTGATATAGTATAGCAATTTGCTACATAGCATCAAATAGTCAGAATTTAATCTCTTTTAGACTACAGCTTTAAAGAAACTGTCATTCCGTCCTCAGTTGGAATTAATATAGAATAATATTTCTCTTCATCTGACAATCTTTTATTAAACTCCCTCATGCAACGCCATGACTGTTCCGATACACCTTTTGGAACTGATTTTAAAAACACTGTATTAAACAATAAAGTGTTATCTGCTATAATTAATCCAGCTTGTTTTATATATAATTCTGCCCAATCTAAATATTTAGTATAGTTGCCTTTATCTGCATCAATAAAAATCATATCAAATGGAGCTTTGATTGATAGCTCATCAAGCTTTTCTAACGCAATGCCTTCCATGAGAGTGATCTTGCTATTTAGATTGAGGAGACGAAAATTCTCTTTTGCTATTCCTAGATGTTGAGAATTGTTTTCTATTGTATAAATATGACCATCTTCAGGCAGAGCCCGCGCCATACAAATTGATGAATAACCGTATAGCGTGCCAACTTCTACAATACTTTTTACATTATGACTTTTGATGAATATACTTAATAATTTCCCTTCTTCAGGACTGATCTGAATGGATTGTTTTTTTCCAAGGATACAGTATTTCTCTATTTTTTCTTGTTCTTTTGCAAACAAATTTCTTATATATTGCAATTTTATGCTAGAGTTACTACGCATATACCACAAAGCTGAAAAATGACACTATTGTTAATAGTAATAGTACAGTTCGTAATTACAATGATATTTAACTTCAAGTTATTATTTTATGGTGTAAAATTTTAAGTGACAGAAATTATTATATACTGTAGTATCATTTACTAATGCAATAATAAATGAAGGATCGAGGGAGATGTTTATGTATATTTCTCTTTTAAAGGTAAATATTTTTATAATCAATTAGAGGGGATGATATGTCTTACACTCTCGATGAGATTGAAATGCTTAATAAAAAGTCTAATAATAAAAACGAAGGAGTTGCAATATTACACAATCCAGCTTATCGTGAAAAGTGGTTCGAATTTTTTAATGAAGCTCAAAGAAAAGTCATGGATATGGTGCAATTTTATGATGGAACAATAGTGCTCATAGAAAATAGAATTGTCATGTATTACTATACTTGGGATAGTAAAAGAAGAGAACTTCAGCGTAAAAAGCAACAGACAGTAACAAAAAACAATGATTCATAGGTTGTATAATGTTTGCGGATATGTGTTACTTGACTGTAATAGGTATTATAGGGGGTAAAAGTTGTCTGTGGAGTTGGCAAAAGAATAGTGGCTAGTATATTTATACCAATCCAAATAACTTGCTAAATTGGTTGTAGTATTTTTCAATACTAAGCAAATGATGTTTAGTTTTGTTAAATAATAACATTTGGCTTGCAAGAAGTCTATTATTTTGTATTGCTATGCGCACTTCTTCCGTTGTTTTAGTGCACCTATCTAATGCTTGATAATAATGAATACTATTACTCTCCGGGACTCCCTATCTACCAGTTTACTGCTTCCAGTTTAAATTCTACTATATACTTTCTTATCATCTCTAATCATTCAAAATTTTACTTTACAAAAAAACTCCCTTCTTTCTCTCCACTTTTTTTTCCTTACAAAATCACCCTATACTTCACAGCTTTTGAACTTGAGATTCTTTTGGTTTTATCAGCAATTCACTTCACGTTGTTTCATATTGGGCTCGTATAACAGTTCATATATTTAGGAAATACTATATTTTTGAATACTTCTTGTAGATATATTCAA